CCTCTGCTCACTCAGTTTCCTGGCATGGATTCTGGACAGGACCGTGACACCAATTTTTGTCACTCCATATGCAGTATCAGGCCAGCCCTCCTTCCTGTACATCCTGTTCTTTGTGTCTTCCACGAACTTGTTCATGAGCCCCACCAGCTCCTCCTCTGTGATGGTTTCACTCCTGAACTTCTGCTGCAGTCCTGGGCTGCAGTTTTTAAGCGATCTGAGGCTGACTATGCTCACACATCGACCAATCTGCCTAAATTACAACACAAAATGTTATGGAGAAGGACAAAGAAAGATGAATTCCAGTTTCGCTAAGATTTGGTACTAGAAAATTTCCACTGAAGTATCATGAGTTTGCTGTGAGCATTAATGAAGACTGTCTGCATGAGTCAAGGACAGGACGGTCCTAAACTTGTTATACCCATAATGTCTCCAATGATGCCTGAGAAATGCTCTGGTGGGGAGGGCGCCGAGCAGATGCTCCACAGGAAATTGGAAATGGCTCCTATAAGAACATGCTCACAAGGATGAATGTAGGCCTGAGAACCTGAGTGACATCTCTGTGGCAGATTTGCTCATGTGATATGGACTGAACCAACTGTGAGTGACCAAGTGGGACTCTAGCAATGTGCCAGCATCTCTTGATTCTTATTTTTCTGTTAGATTTGCTACTGCACTGTGACGTGGTGTCACATTGGACTTCTTAGTAATATTCAACTACCATTTATAAACGAATCATATGATGCTATGGAGAGTGATGAGCAAATGTACCGGAAGACTGAGTAACCGTCTGCTCAGGATGTAATACTGATGGAAAATGACAAGCCTGATGAAAAACTGGATTTACCTGTCAGCTAATTTCTATACTGCTAAATTAATTAAACAAGGAGGCCATTACTTTGCAGTGGCTCTAATACCCTGGTGGCATATGTAGCAAACCAAAATCAATGCCTGTAAATGCCTCAGACTTACAAAACTGAAACCTAAGGACGACCGATCACAAACAACCAACTAAGCTTGAAGTTACATTCAATCGATAATTTTCTTCCTTCAATTCTGGGTTTTTCTGTATAATAGTCCTTCCCTGAGCACCTGTCGATGGAGCATTGCTAACCACTTCTGGTTTTGTGCTTCCTGATCCAAATACAGTTGAACCTTGACAACCCAGGGATTAGGAATTGCTGAATCCCCATGCAGTAGAAAAATCTACATTAACTTTTGATTTCCCCAAAAGTTTACTGATAGTTTGATTTTGACTGAAGGTGTATCCATGACATAGTCGATTAACATACATGATGTATTTTTACAATAAAGTAAGGTAGAGAACAGGTTAAGAAAATCGTAAATAAAAGAAAATATATTTATAGTACTGTACATATGCTTATTGAAAAAAATGTGCATATAGGCAGCCTGAGCAGGCCTGGGCAGAGGCAGTGGTGTGGGGGCCTCTCCAGGTGACAGCAGGCCTGAGGGACAGTAGAGCTGCCTCATCTGCCTGGAGATATACCACTGGCCTGTGGCCATCTGTGGCACATGTAAGTGTGCAGGCCTTCTGGAGGCGATGGGGAGGGATCTGCACCTGGCCTGGGCAGGGCGTCCTGAGGAGAAAGAGAGGCAGGAGGAGAACTATGTGTGTCTGGGGCTCTGGGAATGTTCTAGGCAGGTGACAGAGTTTAGGGGACCCTAACAAGTTTGGATAGGGAAGAGTCCACTAGCCTGAATAAGATCACTCAGAGGGGGGGAGAGGGAGAAGGAAGGGTCCAGGAAGAAATCCCCAGGGAAGTGCACCTGTGAGGACACAGAGCCAGAAAAAGGCCTCTGGGAGGGGAGTTTGGAATGAAGATATAAAGGAGAAGAAGCAGCCAGTTGTGAAAGGCCAGTGGGACAGAGGGCACTGCTGAGTGCTGGACACGTGTGTACAGAGTCCTGAGGGGAAGGGCACCTGTCCAGGTGGGGATACAGCAGGGAGGCCCGTGTGGCTGAGCAGGGAGAGGGAGCAGGGCCCGTAGATGAAGTCATAGAGGCAGTGGCAAGATCATTCCAGAAACACCACTGCCTGTGTCCCTTGTCACACCTACCTTGGGGTTTCATTAGAGGCAGCAGTTCTGTGCACACGTCTCGGGTACCAAAGAAGTTTGTTTTCATCGTCACTTCTGCTTGAATATGAAACGGTGTCGGATCATTAGCTTTCAGGGAGAAAGAGATTAGCGTTAATAGCAGCCATGTGGTAAAAATTCCACAGAACGGCATATGAAGGAAAAGTGCATGTGAAATGTGGTGAATTTTTTGTAAAACTGGCCTCTAGTTCATAGTATTGTGCCAATAACAATGTCCTCATTTGACAAGGTTGTAGAATGTTGTAAGATGGCACCATCTTGGGGAGGGTGGGTGAAGGGGGCACACACAGGATCTGTGTTCACCAATTTGTGCCATTTTCTTGTTTATTTCAAAATGCATTAAAAATCCACCCAACTGCCCTAAAATCCAATCCCAGAGAAACCCTGTGACAACCTGGAAAGAATCCGAGGAGTCTCAGGAAACACAAACGTCACTCTGGATGAAAAAGCGCTGTGATTCCCCCTGGGACTTGGCTCCAGCCCCACCCCTCTCCCCCATCCCTCCTTCAGCCCTAACGGAGCCATTTTGGACGCCAAAGGCGCTGAGAGCCCCACCGCAGCGATTTCCCCAACAGATGCAGCCCACCCTGGCTGGAGGCGCTCCGTGGTGTCCACCTCCCCTGCGTGCCCCCACCCCCTTACTCTTGAAGGCGATGCCCGCGTTGTTGACCAGCACGTCCAGGCCCCCGTACTCCTTGCGCAGGAAGTCGCGCATGGCGCGGATGCTCTGCAGGTCGTCAATGTCCAGCAGGTGGAAGCGGGGGCTCAGTCCTTCGGCCTGGAGCCGCTGCACTGCCGCCTGTCCCCGCGCCTCGTCCCGCGCCGTGAGCACCACGTCCCCCGAAAACTGCCGGCACAGGTCGCGCACGATGGCGAAGCCGATGCCCTTGTTGGCCCCGGTGACCAGAGCCACGCGGGTGTGTGACGACATGGTTGCGCGTGGGGTGCACCAAGGACTTGCGAGGGGAGCGGACCTTCAAGAAGGCGTTCGCGGCGCTCGGTGCCTCTGGAGTTTATGCACAAAGTTCGGCGCGCCTGCGCAAGGTTAGAGGGCGCTAGGGGCGCGCGGGCGGGACGCACCTCCCCCTTAGGGCGTGGCTTCCCGGGAACCTCCCAGGGGTGGTAGAGAATGGGAAGGGCCGGTGGGTGGCAGAGGCTGGTTAGGTAGCTGCCCGCCTGGCAGCGGAGAGAATCATTCTATTTGGCCATGTCCCTCACTGAGTCTAAACTGAGCCTGTATCCCTGGTTCTCCAAGGGTTTTTCTTTGTAGCCTCTCAACTATTCAACCATTGACTTGTGTAATTCAACAAATAGGGCATTTGTAGGGACTCTTTTGTTTGTTTTTCCGGGTGAGGAAAAAAAATCTCTTGAAGTGTTTGGAACTATAGTTGCGGAATAAGCTAGGAGATCAAGTGTGTGTTGTTTTCTTCCCTAAGTATGCGAAAGCAAATCTACCGGTTTGTCCTTGGTTGGTTTTCACATTAGAGTGGGGAACAGTCACTAAATCGTTACAGGGTTACCTCCCTCGACACTTGCAGGGTCATCAGGTTACTTGTATGCAGGTTCTGCAGTGTACAGGTGGAAGGAGGGGTTTGAAGCCCTTTCTTGCATTCAAAATAACTTGTCAGGGTGCATCTTATTTTCCCCATTTTATTTTTTATTATTTTTTTTAATGTTTATTAATTTTTGAGAGAGAGAGGGAGTGAGCGGGGGAGCAGCAGAGAGAGAGGGAGACACAGAATCTGAAGCAGGCTCCAGGCTCTGAGCTGTCAGCACAGAGCCCGATGCGGGGCTCGAACTCACAATCCGTGAGATCGTGACCTGAGTGGAAGTCGGACGCTCAACCGACTGAGCCACCCAGGCGCCCCTCTTATTTCTTATTTACAACAGAGGAAAAGGGGACTATGAAACCAAATCTCATTTCTGCACTGCCTGGTATGATAGCCATGAGTGGCTATTTAAATGTAAATTTAATCGAAATAATACAACTTAAAATTCAGTGCTTAGTTACATTAGCCATATTTCAAGCGCTAGTAGTCACATGTATTAGTGGCCGCTGTTTTGGATAGTGCAGATCTATAGTATCTCCATTACAACAGAAAGTTACAAGCAGTGCTTTAGATAGTTTCCAATTATGTTGCAAACAAGGTGGGTTTCCAGTTAGTTGCAAAAAACAAACAATTTGGGAAACACCTTTGCTTCTTTTTGACCCAAATTTTTATTGAGATAATTGCAGATTTGCATATAGCAGTAAAAAAAGATACAGAGATTCCTTACGCTTTACACAGTTTTCATCTATGGTAACATTTTGCAACAATATCGTAGGATATCATAATAAGGATAGTCACATGAAAACAATCCATCAATCATATTCGGATTTCCTCAGTTTTACTTGTACTTATTTGTGTATCTGGATCTATACAATTTTATCACATGCTTAGGTTTGTCTGTCCACCACTAGAGATGTTGAAAACATTTCCATCAGCACGAAGATCCCCATTGTTGTTTTTTTATAGCCAAACATCTCTCTGTTGCCCACCCCCGCCTCCACTCAATTCCTTGGGAAGCAGTAATCTGTTCTTCATTTAAAAATTTTATTGTTTCAAAAATGTCATAGAGATGGAGCGGTGCAGTGTAACCTTTGGGGATTTTTTTTTGTTTTCACTCAAGATAACTAAGTGCTTTGTTTTGGATTTTCTCCTTTATCAAAGTGTATACTTGGTCTGTCATTTGCTGGCCTCCCTCCACACCACTCCCTACTTTCTTCTATACTTGGGGTGAGCCAGTGTGAAAAGGAAGTGGGATGAATTAAATTCACTAAATTAAGCCACAGAGATAGTACATAGTGTGCAGGGAACTTTGGGCATGGTAAGAGGCCTGCTGTTTCAAAAGGCAAAACAAGAGGACCATGAATCATATTTTCTGCCTGATTTGTTTATCCCTTTGGTACTTGTACCAACACAAGACTTGATGGCCAATGACGCAGGATGCTCAAGAAAATGCAATGCATAAAATATCACATGGAAATATGAATTTAGCTTATGATGAAAGTGGTATTAACAATTAAGGGGGTAAGAAAGAATTATCCCCAAAATGATTGCATAAGGTACACTGATTAATTTCTAACAAGACAAAAAAGTGCTTTCTCACTTTTTAAATGTATATAGTTTTATAAATGTAACCATAAAACAAGTGTAAGGAAAAATAACTAAAATTTGTGGGAAAAGGACTTTGTAAGCATAAGAACAGGGGAAGCATCACAAAGGAAAGGACAGATTTAAGTATGGGAAGTGTTTTGAAACTTTATTTTTTTGAAAAGCGTGCTAATTTAAAGCCAGTGAATTAATTTCTGTTTTGATGATTTTTATCTTTTTTTTCCCCGTCACATCTGGGTCTTGATCCTGGTTGTGTATTTGCGAGGTCACCACCACTTGCCATACATAGCACCTTGTCTGACCTCTGAACAACTTGAGAAAGAAAACACAAGAGTAAAGATGAAGGCCCCAGATCTCTGTTAGTACTGCTGATGTTTAGCATGGAAGATACCCGTTAGTTGTGAGTCAAGTCTGAGATCATCCTGGCTGCTATATGGAGAGAGAATTTTTATCATGTCTTTTAATGTGTGGAATAAATCCACATCTTTACTACCCACTGGTTCAAAGCAGTTGTTCTGTCCTAAAGTACCCAGTTCTATGGTGTCTACGAACATAAAAGATGTAGGAAAACAGTATTGTTAAATGACAAGTTATGAAGCTCTTAGGGTCTTCCCCTGCCCACGATTATTTACCCTCACAGAACTCTGACACTGGCTTTCCTTCTTACATTCTAAGCTTATATAGATGTTCAATAAGCCTTCTTAAAAGGGTGGTGCATGAATTTTAATTCCCGGAATCAAATTGTGACTGAGCTGCTTAGGAGATATGAAAATCTAAGCAATTTACTTAATTTTATCAAAGATAAACAACGCTGGATACTGGTTAAGGTGGTAAGGACAGATTTTAATCAGTAATATACTATTGAAATGGGAAATTGGGTCCAGCGTGAAATGAACTTAACTTGGATTTGTACAGAGGTGGCTGAGTGTTTTAAAGGGAGAATAAGGGCACAGAGAGGGGGAATGGAGGGGCTTGAGTAGAGTCAGGGAAATGAAGAATTACCAAGAGTGTGTTAGTGTAAATGCCATTAGGCCAGCTGTGTGGGCTACACAGAGACTGGGAGACAGAGGCCCTATCTTTTGTGATGATTAAGTTTCAAATCCTTAGGAAAGACACTACTGAGTTGTAAGAGATAGATTTATACCTCAAATGGACAGAGGAAGGACTCAAATTGTGAATCCTTTTTAGTAAATCCTCTAATAAAGGGTGCTGAAGGGCCCATTATCAACGTTTATTTATTTTTGGGACAGAGAGAGACAGAGCATGAACGGGGGAGGGGCAGAGGGAGAGGGAGACACAGAATCGGAAACAGGCTCCAGGCTCCGAGCCATCAGCCCAGAGCCCGACGCGGGGCTCGAACTCACGGACCGCGAGCTCGTGACCTGGCTGAAGTCGGACGCTTAACCGACTGCGCCACCCAGGCGCCTCTGGCATCGGAAAGCTTTTTTTTTTTTTTTTT